CTATTGAAATTGCAGCAACTGCCATATGCAGTCATCTCCACAATGCAAATTATTCCTGCTCAACACATCCAACATCTTGCACAATCATTCCCAGACAAATCTATGCTGTTCTAGAGGAAGCGCAACATGCCACTGCTGTTAAAAGGTGTACAGAATACAGTACAGTGTCTAACCACGTACATGATGGTGTGTGTGTGTGTGTGTGTGTGTGTGTGTGTTCATGTATTACTGTGTGTACATAAATGCATGTCAACATACGCTGTGTCTTTGCACCCACTACTTTACCTGTGGAGGTGATTATGAATCAACATATCAGCTCACTGCTTGTAGTGACACAGTCAAGATAGGTCTGACCTGTTATTATGCAGTGGAGGGAAAAGCTGGTGTCCAACTGAGGTGTTGATTGCCTAATGTAGTGAACTGCTGTTTACTTGAGCCCCAACAGACCTCTATAGAAAAAAGAAAAAAGTCTCTAGCATGTGCATGAAGGGTTTCGTTCATTGTAATTATTCTTACAGGAGTATGTCCATCAAAGCAGCAATTGCAGTCTTTATTTTGACCCAGGTATCCAGATCCTGAGCTGCTCTCCTATTTCCCCAAACTCTAAAATGAAGATAAAGAGAACATGACTATTAAGTATGAGCATCAGGTACTTGCAAACCTAATTTGTACTGCCCTTGCCTGCCCTTGTGCATCAAAATTCTACTTCTTGCTTATTTCTTTGTTTGTAGAACATACTCATCAAAATTGTGTAAGGCTATTAAATGACTTCCAGTGTCCACCTAGACAAGACAATGGTCTCAACTGCCATGACAGCTTGTTTGATTTGGTATTAAGAGACCAGATAAACCACAGAACATTGTAGTACCTGACAGTGGGGACTTTATCACCATCAGAAAAGTTTGTCAAATGTCTCTGTGGTTTATTGGACCTTCTCTCTGCAATCTTAACATTTGCAACTATTTTAGCACTCTATTAACTGTGACTGTACACACTGTTGCACAGAAGTTAGCAGTAGTTGGCAGTATACTTAGTTTTCTATATCACTTAGGGTTGCCTGGTATGGTCTTGTTTTGATTCAGTGCCGTGGTGACATGCTTATACAAACTGAGGTCAGCAAGACAAGTCGTCAGCATAATCAGATTGTCTTTATACCACAAACATGGTATTGGTGTTAAAATTACTACCAAAACATATTCTGCTCTCATAAAGAGCCTCCCCATCTCTTAGTTGTCTGCTGAATTTTGGTCCCAGTACATCCCTGATGGCAGTCGTCCCAAAGCGGTCTAGTTAGATGAAAACATCAATACAGCACACATATTGTAAATCCTCCTGCAGAGATATGCTTGAGTTCCTTCCTGCCACTTGGCTCCTGTGAGCCCACATCTGCTTCACAGGGACAGTTGTCATGCAAACACAGTGTTGGCAAGCACCAAAACGGAGTGGCAGTATAAGGTAGAGGTTACGCACACAACAGGGACCTCTCAAAGTCCATGTGAGGACATGCTTTTTTTTATGTATGGACATATACTACGCATCCATGTGGTTGTTGTATCTTTTTGTGCCAGATACAAGATAAAGCCATTAACTGTGAGGACTGTGGTATTTGGCCTCTAGAAACAGATTTACTGTAAATACATGGTGTCACTTAACACTGTAATTTAAAAAATAATAACCTTTGCTGTTTTGATTAAAGATTTAAAAATGTTATAGCAGCGGAAAGATTTTCTTTACGTAGTTTATTTTTTCTCTGTCTTTATACAGACTGCTATCAAATGCTGAGGGTATTGTGAGGATTATTAAGAATATTATATTAAAAGACCTCTGCTACTGTGTGTGCATGCATGTGAACACTGACCTTTTCCTGACTTCACTGACAGGCAATTAATTGGCTGATTATAGCATTTAGGGCGCCTGGGGTGTGATTAAAGTTAATTGAAGAGGATGTTTGTATGTATATTACATGTGTATGTGTCGAAGAACAGCCTACAGTATGAAAGTGTACATACATGTAGTAGAATAGTATTTTACTTGAATTCTTACAAAGTGGTCGATTCTGTCCATATTGCCAGGTGTTGGTGTCAAGGATCAGAAATGGATTAGTAGTGGGGGGATAAGGGAGTGAGGGAAGTGAGCGAGGGCACCCAAGAAGATCAATCAGAGGCCTCACCTTTTCTTTCATTCCTGTCAATGGGGAACAGAGAGCACAGCCGGCACTTGTCTACTACAGGGACACCATTACAGTATAGACGGACACATTGACAGTGACAAAGAGGGGGATGAAGACGATGACCGGGAAATCATTCAGAAACACAGCAAAGGGGAGTATGGCAGAGAGAGGGAAACAGAGAGAGAATAAACGGTTTAAACATGGAAAAAAGAGATGGAGGGAGTCTGTTCTCAGGAGACAGGCAGGGTAAAGTTGTGTTAAGCTGAGATCAGAGAGGGGGATCAGTCCATGTATCCTCTGTGTGCTGAGTGTCATGTTTTTTACAGCAGGAAGTCAATAAACAGCCTTTCTCCCACCTTATACCCCACTTTTCTAAGCTAGTGTATGTTTAGCCCAGCAGAGGTGAGCTTTGGAGGGGTTAGTTGGTTTTGCATCTCCAGTGAATATCAAGATTTAGAAAATAATGAGCATGTACTTACCAACTTTACTTTTTATTTTTAGCCAGTGGCAGTAAATGTTTATGTTCAGTAGCTGTTTGGGTTACAACATGTAGGGATAGCTTTTTTACTTGGTGTACAACTGAGCGGAATCTTTTTATTAATTCCTATTCATGAAAACAAGTAAATGTTTCTTTTTTTTGCGGGGACAAAATCTGTAGAAACAGGATTGATTTGAACATGGCTTATTACACAGTGTACTGACACACACTCTTCTTTCTCTGGCCTGTTTGTAAGATAAGATAAGATAAGATAAGATAAGATAAGATAAGAAAGACTTTTTTGATCCCACACCGGGGAATTTGAAACAGCTTTGGCCCTTCTTCTACAGGACATCTGTGTTGTTCGAGCAGTCCAGTTGTTGTTGAGGTGAACATCCAGGTATTTGTATGCTCAGTATCCAATCACTGGATGTTCACTGGTGTAATCTGGGGCATCCTCCTGCAAAAGTCTATCACCATCTCTCTCTCTCTTTATGTGAAGGTGGTTTCACTCACACCAGTTGACAAAGTCAGTGATGATTTCCTGGTATTCCTGTTTGTTCCCTTCCGGTACACGTCCAGCGATGGGTGTATCATTGGAGAACCTCCGGAGGTGACAGTTACTTATGTGTGTGAAGTCGGAAGTGTATAGGATGAAAAGAAAAGGAGCAATCATCGTACCCTGTGGAGCCCCTGTGCGACAAACCACTGCATCAGACACACAGTCATGAAGCTTCACGTACTATGGTTTATAGGAGAGGTAGTTGATGGTCCATGCTGCCTAGTAGCAATCTACTCCAGCTCCTCCCCTGAGTTGTGATGGCTGTATTGTGTTGGCATTGGAATAGTACTGGAAAAGACTAGGAACATGACCCTCACAGTGCTCCCAATGTTCTCCAGGTGTGAGAGGGATCTGTGCAGTAGGTAGATTACTGCATCAACCATCCCAATGCCCGGTAGGTAAGCGAATTACAAAGAAGTCCAGCTTTGATGATCCTCTTCATGGTCTTCATTAGGTAAGAAGTTTTTGGTATTAGAATCACACAGGAAGTTTTTCACAGGACCTGAACTTTCTATAGACTAAGGCTCAAGTTAAAAATGTTCAGAACTGCCTCACTGAGCTGATCTGCACAGTCCGTGTACATCTGTGTCTCTGAACAGGATATGGATGGACTTTTAGGAATAAAATGTTTGCACAGTACAGCAGCAAGTCCCTGGGAAAACATCGTATTTGTCACAAGATACAGCAAGGACTCTTGTGAATGGCTGATATTTGAACTTTTACTATCATGTCACTTAAGATGAAGTCCAGTAAGCTGCTTCTCATAGTGCCCCAGGTTACATCACCCTGACATGTCCGCATGCCAGAGTAGAATATAGTTTGGAGGAAGTAGACTACATCATTTAGCAGGCTGTCTGCTGGCTGCAACATCATACTGCCGTAGCCTAGCAACCAGTTTAGAAGAAGGGCTCGCTCAGGCAAAGCTTCAGTTCCAGCTGGTGATCTCTAGGGAGTGTGTGTGTGTGTGTGTGCTTAGGTGTGTGTGTGTGTGTGTGTGTGTGTGTGTGTGTGTTAGCTTGCTAGGATAATGAATGAGTGTTGTAGAAATGAGCGTGCTAGCTCAGTCTTGCAGGGAAGATCAATATCAACTATACATTCATCTCTAATTACCACAGCGGAACTTAGAAGGAATCTCTCTTTGTCCTTCCCGCCCTCTTGCTCTCTTTCACCATCTCTCCTTCCTCTTCCTTTCCCTTTCTTTGTTGATCTCCCCCTATATTTTACATACACTCTGTCCCTTTACTTTTAAATCTATGTCTGTCTCTCTCTCTCTAAAATCCAAAAATCTTTAATGGCATGAAAGAGAATAAAACTTGTGCTGGCCAAATTCGTTACAGACCAATCATTTTACATTACAGTTCCTCCTGTCTAGTACCAGTGTGCTTTATGTGTGTGCATTTGTGAAATCTTTCTCTCTCTCCCTCTCTCTTGTCCCTCCTTCCCTCTCCCTCTTATGAACCCAGAACATAAAAACCTAAATACCCCACTCAGCTATATGACCATCCTTTTTTGTCTCTTTTCCAAGGCTCTTCAGGCTCCACAACCTCACAATGATGACAACTGGGCTTGTTTTATGACAGTATTTGACTGATTCAGACCCTGACCGCTAATTTCTCTCTCTCTCTCTCTC